AAATTATATCGTTACCCCCCTTGAATAATATTCTTTCCGACCCTGTAAGTTGTTATATCTAGAGAATTAAATGCATTAAATATTGTTTTGTTGAATTAGTATAAATATAAAATATATTTGTTGTTTCATTTCTATATATTCCATCGTTGACAATTTATTAATAATACAAGTATAATCATGAATAAGTCATAACTGTACACATAAATTAAAAACAAATACGTAGAAAATAATTTCTATTCGCAATCAAATCTATTAGAGATTCACAGAGTAGAAATCTCTGAGTCTTTCATGAAGAATTTCTCTGTTACTTGAACTTTCTCATGAAATAAATTCAATCTATAACTGTTTGATGTCTGAGAGAAGGACGCATATTCATTATGTTTATAGAATAGTGAATATTGATGGAAAAATAAGTAGGTCTAAAGAGATTATGATCTCGATTAACTATACGTTCGTTCAATATATAGAATAATTATGATCACATCCAAGCTGAAAAATACAATGTTGATATAATTCATAACTCGGAATAATATTCATTTCAAGTACATCGACAATAGAATTTAACGTTAAACAATAAAATGGATATTTGCCTTGAAGTTTTTCTAGAAAATGACAGAAATAGATAAAACAAGATCGATTATGAAATGATACAGTTGCTTTTTTATCATTATGCCAACATCAAATGACAAATGGATAAATGAATCTTTTCATTTAATAGATTTTATTTGCATAACGATTGATTAATCATTTTTGAAAATATTCATAATGAGAATGTTGTTCGTTTAGAAGTTGTTAAAATCGAAAAGAAATTAACAAATGAACAACTCAACTATTTACATGAATGTATGTATACATTTATATATCGAGCCGTCTCAATATAATGTTGCTTAAACTAGATTATAGAATGAATCAATACCCAGGTTTGTGGGGTACTGAAGAAATAGCTAAACAGTGGAATATTGATGATTTTGATTTTCATATGGATTTGATGGTTCGTTAGATTTTCATTGTATTTTGTTCGTTTCAATATTCTTCATTTTTAGGAATGGTTTTTTTGTCGGCGTATGGCTGAAATCGCACTTGAACATCGCCGATCTGAAACAAAAGGAGCTCCAGCTTAGTTCGATTAAGTCTCTGATCATTATTCTATTACAAAATAATATTTGGTTTTCTTCTGTGCTAAGTGTCTCTGATAATGTGTTCCGTTTATATAGAATAAAATTAAGATAATCTGATAAAACATTTTATTTCAAATAGAACTTGACGACGACTTTTATTGATCAAAATTGATGAAACTTTGAAGACTTGTATTGATTGATATTAAATATATTTTATATGATAAAGATTTTCTACTAATCCGAGTTTATTTATGTAAGTATGCATAGAATAGAAATAATTTGTGTCTTCATTAAAACAAAACTATGAATATTTTTTATCGGTCAAACTTCATGTTCAATTTCATCATGAATAAAACTATGTTTGATGGAACTTTTAATTTTGACAATCAGAAAAAAAAACTACTTTATAATTTAATCGATTATTTATTTAATAGTGGTTTCGATGAAATATTTAATCAAGGCTATTGAAAAGAATAGATGAGAAATCAGAAGTATGACAAAAATTTATTTCCCAGCTTACTGTTGATAAAAAAGAACTTGTAATAAGTTAAGAAATAGAAGAAAAGCTTTTGTTTGATCACAAATAAAACTGATTAGTCTCAATTATGTGCGGTGGATATTTATTTAATATGTGCAGCACATTTTCATATATCATATTCTATCAAATAATTTATTGAAAAAAAAACTTGTTTAGTCTATAAAAATGAGAATGAAAAGAAGAAAATGATTTTGCTAAGTATATTCAACACTCTCATAACCATATTTATCATATTGTTCTCTTTTGTGTTTGTCCGATAGAATAGCATATGTTTGATTTACTTTTTTAAATAAATCTTCAGCTTTATTATCACTTGGATTTCGATCTGAATGAAGATCTTTTGCTTTAATTAAATAAGCACATTTTATTTCTTTATCTGTTGCTGTTCGACTAACTGATAATAAATTATATAAATCCATTGAAACTTGTTCTTGTTCTTCTCTTGTTCGTGATTTCGATTCTTTTGTACTAAGTACAAAAATCATATTATACCGTCAGTTGATTCTCTTATATTAATTTTAAAATAAACCGTTTTTGTTATTTTCTAAAAGATTGATATTGTTTTTGAAAAAAATCTATAAAATCATAAGTAAATTGTTTTGCATTCAAATGATAATTTTGCCATTGTTGTTGATTAATTCTTTGTCAATAATATTTAGGATAATTTTTTGCAAAAAGTCCAACAATTGATTCAACAATAATCGCAATTGGAATTGAATTAGTAAATGTAGGAAAAGAAGCAAGTGCAATACCAAACGATGGACCAATAAGTGAATCTAATGCAGCTAATGTTGTCCATGCCATTGGATAAAAACCAATTAATGTTGCTATTGTTATTCTAATCATAATGTTGTCTAGAGTGTGGGTGTGAGGCAAAAAAGATAGCAGCGCCACCACCCACACCCTATATCTTATGATCCAATGAAATTACAAATGAAGGAGCACTACTAGTGTCAATGCTAAAGCGTGAATTGGAGGTCAAAGTTCATGAGAAAATCGATCAAAGGTCACCAAGCGATTTGATCTTCCTACTCATTTCACTCATTTCTTTCCAACATAATATGCTACTCAAATTTCTGTTTTCTCCATTGCTTTTTGTATTTATCTGCATATCGTATACCAGGTAAGCGATAAGGTTTACCTATTAGAAATTAAATTTGATATCATGAAAAGGGTCTTATTATGCCATCTAAAAGGCTTACATTTTTTCTTATCATGGTCATTAATAATTAGAAAAAACAAAATAATTTGTATTTTGATGATGATAGAAAAAAGTGCTCTTTGCTTGACGATACTAGATGCATTGTACATTTCATAAGATAATAGGACAAATAGATCATTGACTATGTCATGTTTTATGTTTCACTCTCTTTCAATTGCCTTTTTCTCTTATCTAAATAGTCTTCAAACGTATAGCTTTTTAAACTTTTCTACTTTTATATCGATTAACGATGATTACCTATTGATTTCACAATTATCGTTTATCACTTATAAAACCACCTTTGAGCAGAAACGCATTTTCGATAAAATATAGTTTACGACAAGATATATTCCAAAAATACTTTTTCTTCATTTTTTCAAAGAAAAAAAGTTTTTCTGAAAACTTTTTGTAATGTAAATGCCTTTATAGGATTCGTTTGATGTAAATATCATATAGGCCTTCACATTTAACATGTTTCGAAGTGAACACTCAATTTTATATGAAAAATAAAGGCTCGTCATACATCTTACATTGCATCAGAAACATGTATGCTACTTAGTAGATCTCATGTTAAGTGGACTAAATATCAGTTTAGAAAATCTTTGTTTAGAAAGTCCTTCATTCTTTTAGCGAGAATTCAGAAACTAAACTAAAAAAATTCTGAGCAAGATACAAAGATGAATGTGCAAATTTAGATTTTTTTCATAAATAATTGTTTGTTACAATCATTTTTGGCTAATTGATCTTAGAATGAACTTATTCAATGCATTGAAATTTGTATTTATTACTATTTATATTAACGAAATATAACTTCAGTGGATATTCTATAAAAGACGAAGAATCAGATTCTGGTAGATCTTGTTAAGCACAAAATCTATTAGGAATCCATTAGCATCTAATAGTATCCAAAATCTTCTAAGAAACAAATTTAAGAAAAAGAAAAAGAATAGATCCTAATATGCTCTAATCGATTCTAGTGAACTTGTATAAATCGATCATCAACATTCAGATATATTCGATGCAAGATACAAATGAATTAAGTATATTATTTAGGTTATATAAATCGATCAATTCGTAATCTTCTATGACACATCTAGTACATGGAAAGGTTCTCTTAAACTTACTAACAATTTGATTGATTTACTGCTTACATAATATAATTAACTGTAAGTAATCCAAGAAGGTCGATAAAATTTTTTCAAGATTCAAATGATAGTGAATATGATCTATCGATTGATGGTTATGATTTCGATGCAAGATTATATGAAACCGAAAGTGAGTATCATCCTCTTTACTTATACTCATCATTTGAGTATTATTCACGTCATTTTAGTAACATCTAACCACTGTGAGAATTATTACTTAGACAGATCGGTGAGACGATTTGAGAATAAATCTGGTTATATCGTTTGCACTAGCCATAGAAAAGGCATTATAGAATTCTGTGCAACAGGTACTGAAGTGAAAAATGACGATGATGGATGTTTCAACAAAACGAGCAAGTCAATATGAGAATAAATAATATTTAGATTTTTCAAACTAATTTGTATTACTTTAGCAAATACACGTATATCCACCTGGAGCTCAATGTGCTTCGCAACCTTGTCAAAATGGTGGTCGTTGTTTTGATTTACCATCAGCTAATACATATCATTGTGCTTGTCTTGGTTCATATACGGGTGTTAATTGTCAAACAAAAGGACGAGTTTGTTCTAACGATATATGTTGTGATGGAGCATTAGATTGAAGCATCTTGTGTTGGTTTTACTATGGATAAGGCTCTTCCTTACATTTGTTATTGTCATAAGAAGAATTTTTCAGCAAAGGAGTTTATAGCACTCAATAATTGTCATAGTGAAGAAATATTTCATAAAGTTTGTGATGACAATGAACTAGAAGAAAATCATAGTGAATAACTAGTTTGAGAATGAAGATGGATAAACAAATTGAATTTCTAATATTGATAATGGACGCATTTGTTTTTCGAAAAAATTTTAAAAAAAGCTTGATCATTGTTGTTAAGAAAAGAATACAACATATTTGGGTGTGGGTGTGGGTAAGAATGACACGAAAGATGGGTGTGGATTTGGTTGTAGGTAGGAATAATACGAAGGGTGGGTGTGGATGGGTGTGGGTGCAGGTGTGGGTGGTTGTGGGTGTAGGTGTGGGAGGGTGTGTGGTGTGTGAAGATGAGGATGGGTATCGGTTGGTGCTGGTATGAGTTATTAATCCAACGACACTCACACCCATACCCACACCCACACGCCCACACACCCACACCCACCTACACCCACACCCATATCCCACATCCCACACCCACAGCAACACCCAAACCCACACTCACACCCACACGCCCACACACCCACACCCACCCACACCCACACCCATGTCCCACATCCCACACCCACACCCACACCCTCAATTTCGGTCATCGCAGACAAACCCATAAGGTACTCAAAGAATATTCAACTCTAGCATATTGCACGAGTTGTTTTTAAGTTTAACAATGAGACCTACATTTATAAGAAAAAGAAACAAAAAAAAGAGAATAATCAAGTGATTAAAATTTGTTTAGAAGACAGACATGGCAAACTATCATTAAGACAAACGACACTATCGTAATGTTTCTTCTTAGGATCATACCATACGTGCAATTGATCGTCCAGAGACCTGGAACCAGGAATTAACAATGGTATTTGACCTATTTCATGAACAATTATATTTTTGTTGATGACAACTGCTGTAGCTGAAATTGATAAATGATCAGCATAAGTTCCTTCTTGTTCCATTCGTTCAATATACCTTTGTATTGTTGGATCTCTACGTTTATCGATAAACGGTGCAAAGACGTTCATATTTAGTTTAATGTAATTTACTGCTTGAGATCGAATACTTGAATGCTCATTTTCGCTCTCATATTGTTGATGCGAAATTGCTCGAAAAAAACAGTTTCCATCTGGCTGTATATTAATTTTTTTACAATGAATACGACGAAGTTGTTGATTTATAGTATATGAACCTAATACTTCTGTTGGATGATTTCTTTGAATATTTTTATTCCAATGTTGAAGGAAACGCAACAGTTTTTCTTCTAAAACATTATTACTACCATCTGGGAAAATAGAATCATTGATCTTCGATGTATCCTCAGAACCGTTCTCTTTCGGTGAACTGCCTAGCGAAGAAGAGTCATCATTGGATTCAGTGTCTTCACGAGACGGTTCAGTGAGATCAATTGCTTGTACATCTAAAGAAGTATATCCAAAATGCATCGAAGAATCGCAAATTGTGTCAAAATAGAAATGATTTTCAACTGTGGGAAAACTTCTAATGATCAAATAATCGAACCCTCTTGTTCTCATTCTTTGAAACATCGATCATCGTTATCGTCATCTTTTACTCTTATTCGATAGAAGGTAAAATGATGAAAAGTCAAAGTCAAATTGACTCACATTATGAAGAATTGTTCAAGAAAAAATATCTCTTTTACTCTTAAGATAGTGAAATAATTCGTTGATTCTACCACTTTAGCAGACGTTAAATCTCATTCGATATCTTTAGCTCAAACTTCCAATAGATGAAGCAGACTAAGAATACTTTTTCGAAAATTCAGTGCCAGTTTTCCTTTGACATCTTAATTATGTAAGTAATTTCGATTTTCTTCAACTCCAAATAGATCTTCTTGATCGATGTATAGACGATCCAAAAAAAAATACTTTCGATTCCTTTTTAGAATATAATGACACAAATCGAACTTACCTGGCTGTTCGCATAGCGTGGAATATACTTCCTCGTGCAAGAAATGCCAAAACGCCATATTTGCACGATCTAAATTAAATAATCAATCGTCTCGTTGTTTATGTTAGTTGAAAAGATCTTCGCTTAACATTTCATAAAAATAGAAAAACTATTCTAATCAATTTCTTTCAGAGTTCTTGATCAAATTCACAAAATCCGACTCTGTAAATCGTATCAAGATTAAAATGCTTTCAAAAAAATACGGAATATGATTTTCTAAGAAACATATCGAATAGAAGTCTTACCAAATTTTTCCAATGGATCTCGATAAAGACAGAAATCAATGCGATTCATATATGCTATATTAAATAATAGTCCCATGATTAAACGAATAATTGAAGATACAATACCGATAAAACAATCTAAAATAGAAAATGCAAGTTGTGTATTTTTTCACTTATAATGTCTGGTAAAGGAAATATCTTACTAGCAACTAAGATAAAATACTGTAGAATTTTTCTGAAATTGTTTTTCAGGTTGTTTTTGAAATTGACTTTCCAAGGAGAATGACGACCAGGAGTGTTTGGAGTGGGTAAGCTCTCGTTATTGTTGTTGATTTGGGAAGATCTCTGATTATTAGTGTCGATCAATGTACTACTCCATCGTGCAACAAGCGATTGCAGCGCATACAGAATTAGTATGGGTAAGATGAATTCTAATACCCATTTAAAAGCATAAGAATGACGCCAAATTAGACGAGGTATGAGACTTATAAAGATCAATAAATGGAAAGTGATGACAAAACCTCCGATTGTATATCGAATAAGGTAGCCTGGATACTGAATAGCTCTGGAACGCATTTTCTCTTTGTCTATTTTTGCTTCTATCTGTACTATTATTGTTGGATCTTTGTCGCGATATTTTTTGATATGTTCTCTAAAATTTTTCATGCCAAAGAACAGTTGAATACCATAGATCAATGCTGTAATAATAGCGCTAAGAATAATTTCCGTATGAAATAATCTATCTTCAATCTCTAGAAAAGAACAAAAAATCATTTCAATGAAAAAATATATATCAACTGACTAATATTGAGCATCTGTTCAAGACTATTTGTCATAAATGATATTGGACTCATCATTCTTGTTGTATAAAGAAAGCTGAATGTGCATGCTAAATGATATAGAATGATGAAATTCACCGTGTATGTAGATATAACTATAGAACTAAATAAAAAATCTCTATCCCATTGATAAATTTGATCGAGATATTTTTGAAGAGTTGATCGAACATCACTTGAATTAACATCTGATGATGGTGTTATCTGCTGCGGTTTTGGAAGAAATTCTGTTTCTATCAAAAAAAGCAAATTTGATTAGATTAAATTAGTTGAGAAAATGTGAATGCAAACCTTTGGTTTCTGTCTCTGGATATTTATGATATAAATCAAATAGAAGACGCGTGCCAAATTCTGCATTACTGTATGAAAGTAAAGCGACATGTGGTAAATTCGCAAATAATCCATAGACAATAATCCAAGTACTAAGTTGCTAAAAAAACACATTTTTTGACTAATAACATTTCAAAAAAAATAATCTAAATATACAATGCGAAGTTGGACTTCATCTCGTGCTGAAAAATTTTCTGAATGAGGCAAAAAGTCCAAGCAGAAACTTTCTCGATAGATTGTGTATGTTATTATGACAAGCACATAACAGAAAGTAAGAAGTTGAACAATAACATGTCGTAAACGTAAAGAAATCAGTACCGGATAGTATCGAAATCTAGAATAATATATAATACATCTTGTAGAAAAAGCGTGTAAATTAAGAAAGGATTAATAACCCAATTAGAGCGACAACAAACATTCGTTTGAAAAACATGATAAGCACACCGTCATCCGATGCTTCCCTTGTTGTAAGTAAAATTTCGTCGAACACTTTTAATATTTCAAAAGTGAGGATACCAAAAATTGCAGCTGTCTCATATCGATTAATTTTCTGGAATGGATCGATTAATGCGACAAATACTAAAATAGATTGGCAAATTATATTATTATAAAACTAGTTTCATGTGTATACCCAATAAAGATTTTTTTTGAATCGGTGGGTTTACTGTAGGAGACAGGGGTGTGTAATCAGATGGATAAGTGATGTCATTCGATGATTGAATTGTGTCATCAGATAGATAAGCCGTGTCATCCAATGGTTGAGTCATGTCATCGGGTAGGCGAACCGTATCATCCACCGGTATAGTCATGTCATTTGGTGATTGAATTGTGCTGTTGGGTAGGTCAGCCGTGTCACCCAGTGGCTGAATCGTGTCATCGGATGGGTGAGCTACTTCATCCAATGGTCGAGCCATGACATTAGGTAGGTACGTCATGTCACCCAATGGTTGACGTGGCAACAGGGGGATGTTTTCGGGCTTTTGAGGCTCCCTGTTGGATGGTGGGTAGCGGTTTGAACCTTTCCGTTGGTTGGCTCTAGCAGAACAGTTTTTCTTCAACTGGGAGTTGTTGGTTCCACAGATAGATGAAGAATCGACTTCCATTGGTTTCTGTCTGATTCTTATTGCCAACAGAAGGAAAATAATGGTAAGAATAATAGAAACGCCCAAGAAAATACGATCGATCAATGGAAAAAAAGATTTACGTTCACATTTTTTTAACACCGATAGTGTCTCATTAATCAATGATTGGGATTTTAATGAATCAACATCAAGAAATGGAAATGAATGAACTTGAACAATGATCGGGATCACAAGTAGAGAACAGAAAAAGATAAGAAACAAGACACCAAGCCAAATGGAACGAATGACACTTTTGTTTTTGAATTTTCTACAAAAAAATCGCATTCGTTGAACAAGTAAAATCGACTTCTCAAAATCAGTCATTAACATGCAATCGACTCATTTCTACGCGTTTCGTGCGGCTATATCAGAAACGAAGAGTTACTCTGAGCTTTGGTTGCACTGGCAGACCATTCGCTTTTTGGGCAATTTCAATTTACACTTAATGTATAAACTCATATTGAATAAAATGTAATACCAAGTCATCTATCTCACCAAAAAGATAGGCTCAATCGATATTATATTAGTCCCTCTGAGTAAAACAAAATCTTCCGAAAGATTAGAAGGAAAGAAGGTATAAACCTTTTGTTCATTCCGCAAGTTTTCAAGAGCTCTACGTTGATTCAAGCCTTATTTCAACTTACTCTTTCCATGTTTCTCGATGCTTCGGAAGGTTCAAAGTACTATTTTCTTTGCCATTTGATGTGATATCTGTGCTCTTACAGCATCTGAATAAAGCTGGACAGTCGGTACTTTACAAAGAAGATAAAAACTCACTCTCTGATCCATTTAATTATAGATTGTAGACCGCTACAAACTTTCCCGATTAATAAGAGTGACCAAAGAATAATGATAATAATCACAGCTATTATCATTTGTAGCATCTGATGTGCAACTACAAATCGACAGAAAAATCAATTTTATGACATGAAAAACTAATAATTTATCTCACATTTTTCGCAAAGAACGCCACTGAAGAAAAATGAGCATGAACATTTGAAACTTTCGAGACTATTCACACATCGACCATGTTTACCGCACATGATATTACCAAAACAGAAGTCGAGTACTAAATTTTAAGAATAAATAGGATAATTCTCTGCCATTTCATTGTACAACAGAGAATACGAACCATATTCACATACATGTTCATAAGTTGAATTGAGATCAATATCGCTTAATGAACAAACCAATTTATCCCAGATCTTGTAAGCAGTAAATGTAAAGATATGTGAATTATTGTTTAATACATTCCATGCAAATTGATCACAAAGACTGCGAATATTTTTGAATCGTTCAAAGGCGTCATTATCCTCATCAGATGAATCAATATGATTGTTCTCATCTCCATTAGTAGCATTCGAAGATTTCGTCTTTAATTTGAATTCGAATCGAACTTGATACAATTTATCTTCGATTATTTGCCATTCGGCACGATCAGTCGCTGAGACCATATCCATAAACATTTTGCCTATAGTTATATAATATTGAAAGAAGTCAAAGAAAAGTAAAGTAATCTATTCTGATGGCTGGCAAAGATCTGAAAAATGTCCATTTTACCTAAAATCCTCTGATAAACAAAAGAACTTTACTATCTTACAAAACAGACCGTCTTCTCAGATGTTACTTCTCGATAAGGCACTACACTTTTCTCTATCATATGGGCATTTTCTATATTCGTACCGACACTTTTTAGAAAATTTATCTACTTGTAATAGGATGTTTCTATAACCTTAAGGACTTTTCCTTTTAAGATAGACGATCATTATTTTGACCAAGCGGACTTTTCTATTTTCTATACGATTTTTCATTATTTCTAGCGGGATTTTGTGGAACTTTATCTACTTGTAATGGGATCTTCCCATAATCATAAGGACTTTTTCTTTTAAAATAAATGATCATTATTTGAGTCAAGCGGATTTTTCAATTTTCTATGGGATTTTTCATTATTTCTAGCGACATTTTTGTGGAACTTTATATACTTCTAGTGGGTCTTTTCCATTACTATAAGGATTTTTTCATTTAAGATAAACGATCATTATTTTGGTCAAGCGGACTCTTCGATTCTCTATGGGATCTTTCATTATTTCCAGTGGCACTGTACGTTAACTTTTCTTTGGCAAAACGAAATAGTCCGCTGAATGAAAATAATCTAGGCGTTGAATATATACATTTCACTTTGTTAGCTGATACAGACATATTATGAATGACGTGAGAATAGTTTATAACACCCCTGGCGTTGCTACATTCTAAAGATGATGATAAGTGTATAGTACCCCTGTCTTGTCTTGCGTTCTGTTCGTATCGAAAAAGAAAAATAAAGTATATCACAAGAAAATTATCATCTTATGTCAAAGGGATGTTGTTTTCTGAAGAAAGACTGACTAAGGCGCCGAATCGAATTTATTGTTTTTTTAGTGTCGAACACTAGAAACGACAGAAGAAGCTTTTCTATAAAATTATGACCGTGAGGATTCCTATCTGCTTTATCGTTAGTTGACTATGTCTTTGAAATATACATATTTACAGATAAAGTACTCAATCAAAAAGTTAAATTCCACGATAGAATAAAAATATCTTTTGAACGAAGAATAATCACCTGTCGAATATATCGGCTGTCCCAGAATAAATTACCCTCGTTGTATTTTGAATATATCTCCTCTATTTTTAGTTCAATTAAAACACTTTTTTTATCAAAACACAGCGCATTAAATTCTGCACAAAATGGGAAATTTTATTTAGCGTATAAAATCTCCTCCGTTCTTTTTTATTAAACGTAATCGAACCGTGAAATCAAGTACAAAATTTAAAATTTTTTCTTTTTCAATTTGTTTTACGGATTGTTTTATTTGTTCTATCAATGTTGGTTTTGTTGTTACGCAGTTCCAATCGATAACGTGACCTAATTCATTTCATAAGCTGTAGTCAAATGGACATAAATCAGGTGAATTTGATGACCAACGGATCTTGGGAATGAATTCAGGAAAATGATCAGCACACCATTTTTGGCTAAGACGATGTGTGTGAGGTGTTGCACCATCTTGCTGATAAGTCCAATTATTTCCTAACATTTTTTTGCCGGATTTTAAAGCTATTGGAAGAACTTCCTTGATGTATTTTTGAGCATCCATCGTCCCATCTTCGAAAATTACCGGCACTGTCAAGCCTTCTGCACATGCACCTAACCAGACCATGACTTTTACTGGAAACTTTATTTTTTCATGTGTAGCACCTTTTTTGTCTGCCTCTTCCTGACTCATAGCCCATACTCGGTCGTTCTGAGCATTGTATATCCCATCTAAATCAAAAAATTTCTCGTCAGTAAAGAGCCACTTTGTAATGTCATCTTTCGTGTAATTGTTGAGCACCCAATTTGCGAACTTGACCCTCTTCATTTTTTGAATATCAGTTAATCTTGGTTGTTTGATTTTCTTGTACGGGAAACAGGCAAGACCTTCACGTAAGATTCGGTGAACGCTGCTTTTTGAAATATCCATTTCAACAGCTAATTTTCTTGTTGACACCTGTTTCTTCTGATCTAGGCGCCATTTTGCCCTCAAGATGTTAGCCTTCGTACGAGCTATGCGCGGACGACCAGGAGATGATGATAAATTGATAGAGCTAGTGTTGTTGATCATTTTTATCCATAATTTAATTGTTTTTAACGAAACCACTCCAGCTAAATCCCGATAGATTTTCATCGGCCCATCACCATTTTCATATTTAGTTTTTACAACTTTTTGTATATCTTTACTTTTCATCTTTTTCGAAATATATGTGAAACACTTTTTGATTCCAACCACATATGGTTTTGTAGAGAATTTTAAGCGCCATCTTTTAGTAAGAAAAGATGTCCCGGTCTTATGGACCATAGAAGAGAAACATTTAAAATATAGACAGGGTAATTTATTCTGGGACACCCGATATATCCTTCACTTTTTTCGTTATTGTAATTGCAGTATAACACTTCTATTATGTTCGAAATTACCGGGTTATTTTTGCCAATTTTCTGTAGTTTACGGCATTAGTGATAATGTTGAATGACTTTCTCTTTCATGCTATAGGATGCAACATTGTGCACTCAATCCAAAACTTTGGTTCTCGTTGTGTTTTATCAATAATTTCGAAAAACTTAGTTTTACGAAACCTAATTAAAAGAAATTTTCATTCACACTTGTCTTACTGAGATGTTTTCTACATTATAGCAAAAATGGTTTCGAACGAAAAAGATCCATCCAAGTTAAAGTTTCGGAAACCAATAAATCAAACTATTTTGAGTTCGAATGACAATGTAATGTTTTTTTGAAAGTGTAAAGCAGTTGATATTTGGCATAAACCTAATTGCCATTAACGACAAAACAAGTTTTGAATAATATTCATATAATCCAAAGCTTCCTTATAAGATTGCAAGGAAAATGTAATAATATGATATGCATTGATAGAGAAAACAATACTGTTTAGTGAAAAAGAGATTTCGAAAAACGCACGATTTTGATCAAAGATGTGGCTTTAGATAGATTTTAAAATTTTTTGTTAATTCTCATAAACACGTAAAAAGCTATTTTATAAAGAATTTTTCTACTTTACATACGTTTTGATATTTATGTGACTGATATTTCCTTCTTTCGAAAAACTAATCGATCAAATAGTTTGTCAAACTAAAACCAAACATTTGTCTCGAAAAACTTTTGATCACCTATCAATTCTACTGTTTGTAATCAATCTTACTGGTAAAAACTGAATATATTTTTCTATCGAAAACAGCATTTTTAGCCGATTACATTTACAAACTTCCCTTTTCTGATCAAAATCTAATTTTTGAGTATTCATTTTCTTTTCACAATTCTCTATGATGCAATTGTTAACATCTAAGAAGAATGAAAAAGCATACCAATAACTAAAACCTTTCTTCTACAAAGACTTCATGGGAATTATTTACTAAAGTTGCTATAAATAAATTAAAAATGTTCTTTCATATGTAAATCAATCAAGCAGAGAAAAAAATCTTGAACAGCACATAAAAATCCTCTGAAGAAAGAAAACTCCCAGTCTCAATTATATACACTTGACTTTTTCAGCTGATATACTTGTTTCTGAACTGTCCTTTCATATATATAAATCATTCAAGCTGATGAAAGAAAAGTCCGCTTCATCTACTTCTATATTTTGCTTCTCTGACTATTGATATGTTCGATATTTGACCATATATGTAAAGTTACGCGTCGTATGCCTTCACGTTTCATCGGTTCGTATATATATATAAAGACATTACTCAACCGAAGACAAAAACATTTCCAAAAACTAGAAAACCCCACGTGTCCATCATATATACATATATACTAGATTTGTCTAATTGCTTTAAACTGATTCAAACTTTTGTTATAGTCATTTCAATAAATTAGTGCATGTGAGAAAAAAGAAAAATCCGATGAAATAAAGAAATATTTCCGCACTGAGGCATCTATATTTTGCTTGTCCTATCACTATTTATATACGTGATATTTGTCAGGATATGTAAAGTTCCATATATTCTTAGCGGACTTTAGGTAAAATGGACATTTTTTCGATTTTTGACATTGCTGTCTATTCTTACTTTTGAATAGTTGTGGATCAGTTTCAACTAATAATGTAGTCAGATTATTTGTGAAGAATAAATGAGCAGCATACGAAAGCTCAACAGAATGTCGAATACGCATCAAGTGTGTATTATTCACATGGAGAAGACTACATGTTGTATTGGCTTCATCAGGTCTTGATTGCATAATCGAAGGATAATAACATGAACCGCCAAATTGTTTCCATCCTTTCAGACATCGAAATCGACTGACTACAACACATTTTTTAGTGAGCAAAGAGAAATATCTTCCATAATCCATTGAGTTTTATTTATGCAATATCTCAGCTTCAGAGCGTGAAATTCCAATGAAACTTATTGAGGACAATATTGGACCCAAATGATGACTGTTTCAAAAATTTTTCCAAACAAAAACTGTAAAAAAAAAATCATTTTTTGAATCAAACTATCCCCTCAATCATTTTTTTGTGATATCTTGTTTTTCAGAATTTAATCGTAATCTACATCAAATTTTACCAACACATCTCATATGTTTGGAAGTTAAAACGCTTTAGATTTTTCCAGAATATTGAAATTTCACCAAAACCTATAACGCTCTAACATCTAAACAGATGCATATTTTTCGATGAAATCTGAACTCTGTGGTGAAGTGTAATGCAGATCACAGTTAGATTCTAAAAAATAAGATACTGCAAAGGTAAAAGCAAATTGAAGGGGGAGGGTGATTCAAAAAATGATTTTTTTTGCAAACTTTATTCACCGGTTTAGTTAAGAGAGTATTTGCCAGGAATGTTAAGGTTATTTTCGTAACAATCTTTGGCGTTTATCTCTGCTATCATAGACATTCTGCCGAACAATATCACTTACTGATGTCTTGACCTCGATTGATCAAGGACGAAAGCTTTTTCGCTTGTGGGAATAAATTAGCAGAATCTATATTCGGATATTTGATCACCGGAGCGCTCTGATATTGGTTGACGACTAGATAAGTAATGAAAAGAAAGATAAATAAAAAGAGATAAGGGAAAGTTCGTAGAGCCATTTAATTGAATAGTAATAGCTTGATTTTAATACTAATGTATCATTTATCTAAAAAGAAATTAACAGATTAATTTAAAATTAAATCATTTGAATATCATTTTAACGACGAGAATATTTATTTAAGATGGACGAAGAGAGTTAATTTACATTCCAAGAAGAGATTCTTCTATAAGAACGATCAATTTATGTGGGAATAAACACAGAATTATTTTTACCATACACTCGTTGCACAGAAATTTTCTCTTTAAATGACTAAACGATATGACGAACGATAAAAGCTTGTCATTTCGGAAACACAACAGTAGTACGTTAGAAAAAGAAAGAAAAAAGAAAAAAAAAAGAAAATCATTCTCTCCTTTTGCTTCATGAAGTATAGTCGCATTTTTTCTCGTTCTAATATCGTTAAATTTCTTTTGTATCAGCCTCTCTAAGTCGATAAGAGAGCAAAGATGACAGAAGTAATTAATAATGATTCTAATACGAATCATCAAAGAGCTGATGAATATCATATAATGGAACAAGACAACGTATCGAACGTTCAAATAGGACAGATCTCCAAGTTTCTATTGGAATGTCCAGAAGCTGCACTTAATGTACATAAGTATCTGCAGAGAAAGTACTCAAATCAACAGCAACAAATTATTCAACCTTTAAATTCTACACCCAAATGTAGTCATCCACTAGATGATAGTGGAGGTTCAGTTAACAATGATAGTGGTCATCGAAAACATCCCCGAAGATCAATTAATAATAATAAACAAAGATACACAGATAATGTACAACAAACAATTAGCCAACAGTCACAACAATTATCGTCGGCGATGTCGTCGAATGAACATCAACGACAAATCCGGGTGTGGGGTGAGGGTGTGGGGTGTGGGTGTAAATGAAGAGAAGATCCACACCCACCCACACCCACACCTACACCCACACCCACACCCACACCCACACCCTTTGGATTTGAATTAACTTTAGATACTTGAAGCTACTTTGCGCTACTTCAAGTTACTTTAAACTACCTCAAGTAGTTTAATTTTAGCTACTTTTCAACTTCTATAACTACTTCAAGTTACTTAAAGTTATTTTATGCTACTTGTTCTTACTTTGCGCTACTTTTATCTACTTCAAGTACGGTATTTTGACATACTTTTAGCTACTTCAAGTCCGCTGCTTCTCTCTTGCTGCCTGCTCCCAACACCGCAAAACGAAGAGGCCTATAGCTATTAAGATGATGAATAATTTTGAAGGTCCCAAGCCCCCCTCCATTTCCTTTTGAAACGAGTCTTTTTTTCAAAATTCAGATTGAAATTAAACACTGCAATGTATGATCTTTTCAAGAGAAGTAATGGCTTTATTTTTAGAAACATTAAGAGGGTGTGAGTGTAGGTGCATGCGCCAGTGTCAGTGTTTGTTTATTTCAAAAGAAGGACTCAACACACCTGTACACTCACACCCACACCCACTCTCTATTTTTACCTAACAGTGAAGGTGGCAAACAAAGTCAGATACTTTCGTTTCCTTTTTTGGCTGCATTATTTGATGTGACAGCTGCAATAATCAAAATAGAAAGAAAATATA